TTTTGTCGAGCTTATTCTAGTTCCCCCTGCTTCTCTGACTCTTTCAATCTTGTTTTTGCTTGGCTGTCATGGTGACATATGTTTAGTTCGTATCTGTCCCAGCTTCGGGTGAGCCCCCATGCTGAGTCGCTCTAGCTCTGGATGCTGCGTTGCCATGGAGAGCAGCTTGCAATTACAATAGCACTGGTGTAGTGAGCAGGTGATATCAAAACTGCACTTTCGCCAACTGCCAAGGGCCTCATGCACACTATGGTAATAGTGGACAGAAACTGATGCGTAGCACATTGTAACGTGCTTGGTCATGTTCATGTGGTGATGCTGAGCTTCAGCAGAATAAAATGAATGCTGGAATTGTGTTTATGTCGATTTTTCAGTGAACTCAGTGTAAAATGTAGTTACTAAAGAAAGCTGCTTATTTTAGATTTGTGGATTACACACATCAGTCCTCCCATAAGCATAAGGGATCCCCCATAACATCCAAAAAAATATATACTTGGGGTGTTCCCTGGTTTTTCAATAAAACTATAATACTTGAAACATGAAACTAGTGAAAATGAAAATTAAATGAATAGTTTTGATTGCTGTATTAAATTTAGACTTGCTCATGTTACATATTTTATTTTTACACGTTTTTACAGCGTTGCTCATTATAACCAATCAATCAAGATTCTGTTGAGCTTAGGAATGCAGTGGCCAATCAGAGGCGTTCAGATTGATTCAGACTGAAACTCGCGAATTCCCTCATCATAAGCAACAACGTGCAGATGTACGTACGATGTAAGATATTCATTTATCATACAGTGTATGGACAGCTTCATTGATTATAAGAGGAGTTATGAGTGCTTAAACACTAGCTGCTAGACTGACTGCTCATTTAAGAGTGCGTTCTTTAACTGTTCTTTAACTGCATGATTCAGTCTAATAAAATGCATTTAGAATGCTCCCAAAATTCAAGATATGGGGGCAGAAAATTTATACATTTACATAATTTCATATAGTTAATAAATATCACACGAAGAGTGCCAAATTTTATATTGATTTTATACAATTCAATAAACTAGGTCAATATTAAGAGACTTACGTTTTAAGACACCATATTGCCTAGTTTTGCTCTATTTCGCCAACAAATGGTTCCAAATACAGCCACTGCGCTGTTTTGCGTCTCAGAGCAACATGACGGTATTTCGTTCCTGAATGAATCAACCGTTTAAATGAGCAATGACTCACTTATTAATAGTGACTTGCTGCCACCTACTGGCAGTTTTAATTTCACATTTAAAGTATATTTTCATTTTTTTTTTTTTTTTTTTTAATTCACATATTAGTATTAAACGT